ACTACAATAAAACTAGAAAGTACAACAATGAAATGACCCCCTGTGAGCAAACACCCGGTGACAGTGGGAAGGAAAAACTCCTTTTAACAGGAAGAAACCTTCATCAGGAGTCTTGCACCACCTTTTCCATGCTGTAATGTTTTCTCCACTAAATTTTGTACGCCGTAACATTTATTTTAAAGCTTTAGTTACTTCTATCCTAAAATCTCCAAAATTCTAAGTACCAAAATATATTAGCTCTATAAACATTCAAAATTAAATATTAATTAATGCATAATATCATGATTCTGCATTATGAGCACGGTTTCTTTATTTTGATCCTAAATATTTTGGAATATAAAATTAGAATTATGCTGATTTTGGCTGCATGACAGCCAGAAATTTGTGCCCCAACAGGCACTGAATGATTGTTTCTTTTAAACTAAATTACACATGTCTCTTGTGAGAAAGATATCTATTCTTTAACTTAAGATCTGATATGACATAGGGCCTCTAAACGTGCTATGCCACCTTGCTGATATGCATTGAGAATAGCTGTGTGTCAACACATGATGTGTAAATGCATTAGTTTGGCACAAAGCCATCAGCTAAAAAAAAAAAAAGAAAGAATGTTTTCTTTGTTATTAATTGTTTAATATGTTTTATTTAAATTTACACTCATTTATATTTGAGGTTATCGTTATTTTAAATGAACTTTTACTTCAAGATATGTTTTGTCATACTGAGTGACATACCATCCCACTTGTACGCCTTTTAACCGGCGCCAAAGGTTTCAGTTCACACTCCAATCCAGAAGGTGGTGCTAACGCACCTGAAGTCAGCTCCCCGTGCACTGTTCACCAAAGAAGAGCAGCAAAAAGGAGACAATAAACGAAGTGGATCTTCAATACCGCAACACTGAGACGGTCTTATGACTTAAACCCAGAAATTAAACCCCTCGAAGTCTATCAGCACCAGGAGATCGATTAAAAACGAGATCGCTGGTAAGAAAAATCAGATTTAACGCGCAGTGACTCTCCGGGAGGAAACGGCTAGCTGCTAGCTCATCGTAGGGGGTGGATGAAGAAACGAGTTACACAAAAACGGAGCATCTCATCTCTTGTCAATCCCAAACGGCACACAAATGACAAAAGACCATAGTTTGGCTATTTATTAGTTAATAATGAAGTATTAACGCGAATGAAAAAGGCGGAACCCAATAGCGAGGATTGAAGCGGATACCCGGACGGTTTACAGCGCGCACACAGCCAAGTTATTTTTACAGTAAAAAATCTTTTTTTATTCGGTCTGTGACAAAAACTGCGATGAAAAGCAGTATTTGGGAGCTTTTATGGATTATATAGGCCCGAATCAGATGAGCTGAGCCTGAATTGCGGGCCGCAGAAGGCCGCAGCCGCAGGGGGGGAAGAGAGCAGCTGGCGAGTCGGACGGTTTCCAGCTCTTTGTCTGAACCGGAAGTGCAGAAACATTGACATCCTGTTGAGGCCGATCCCCCCCAAAAATCATGATTTTGTTTGTTTTTTTCAGACTGCAGCAAATCCAGTATTATCCAATATCATCGTACTTTAACGATTATTAATAAACATATGAAAATACAAACAAATGAAGAAAAATGGCACCTCAGAACTTATTACATATCCAAGGATATTGCAGGACTTCTCTATAAAGGACAAGAAGTCATTAATCTGGTGATTTAGCCTAGTTTATTCCTAGTTTGTACTATGTGTTTCCAGCAGTGTAAAATATTCATCTTTTTATAAAGGTATAAAAACACGGCACTTCCACATTATTTTAAACTGAAAATCTGAACATAACCTGCTCCCAACAATTTGTTTTTATTCTGCTGGCTGCAGATTTGGTGCTGTTTAGGGTTTGAGAGTAAAGAATAATATATAAAAACAGAATTCAAACATAGGCTTATGTACAAGCAAGTAAAGTGTAGGTTACGATCAGATGATGCTTATAGAATAATAAAATTGTTTGCTGTTAAGGATCTATTTATATTACTGATGCTCATCAGGGAAACACAAAGACTTTAGAAGCTACTGAAAATCTTTAGACCCTCCCACTGATTCCCCAGAGGTCTGCAGCAGGTACCACAAAGCAGGATTTTGTATTTCATACCCCTAACACTCCAGATTAGAGATCAGCACGTATGAAATCTCTGCCTACTGACCAATCAATTCACCATGAAATAGCGTCATCATTCCTGGAAGATCCCTTGGATCTCTGTGTGTGAATAGTAGAAGGTTCTAAAGAAATAAATGCAATTTTATTTCTTGCCTGTTTTTTTCCTGTTGGTAGCAAACAGTTTTACAATTTCATTGTTTTACTGGCATGATCCTAAAACAGGTCATGTAAACTGTACTTACTGATCTCATATTAAATTTGTACGTAGACTGAGCCTATGCTTGAAGTCAGTTTTTATATTTAATCTGTACTGAGTCTGAAGCTGATAGAATAAAAACAAAAACTGCTAGGAGCGAGCAGGTTTGATATAAATCAGCTGGAATCACCACATTTTCACTGATTCTTTTCTTTACAGCATGTTTTATGTGTGCAATTTGTTAAGCCGTGCTTTACTAAAATCACTGACTAAAGTGAAAACTGTGACTTGCTTTGTTACAGGAAACTGCGTATATTAATTTGATGATTTAGAAAATGTACAAATGTTATGCTTGATTCTAATCTGCTGCCGTTTATCCTGATCATCAGTGTTAGGAAAAGTCAAAAAGCTTTCAAAATTGATGTGCAGGGAAAGAAGCATGAGCATCATATTGCATTCAGGGGCGTTTCTTAAGACGTAATGTAGATAGATATAGATAGATAATCTAGCCTTAGTTTGCCTATCGGCCATTCATTAAAAAAATAAAAACAAAAGGAATAAAAGTGTTCTGCATAAAATTGGCTTTATTTTTTTATGGTTAATGCTACATTTTTGTTCAGCCTGTTGAATTAAAGCTGAGAATCTGCTCTTCAGCTGGATTTAACTGTCGACACAGTTACATCCCTAACTTGTTCCTGTTTTTCCTGCAGATGTTTAATAGCTGTCGGTGATTAAAGAAGTTCCTCATGAGTGAAACCCCAGTCTGGACCAGCATGAACCCGGAGACCCTCCACATAAAGGAGGAACAGGAGGAAATCTTGACCAGCCACGAGGAACAGCAGAGTAGTGGTCTGGAGGAGGCGGATATCATTAAGGTCATAATCACTGCGGTTCCTGTAAAAACTGAAGATGATGAAGAAAAACCTCAGTTCTTACCCTTTCATCAAAGCCAAGCTGAGGACAACAGAGATACAGAGCCTGAGAGCGATGGACCAGAACCGAGCAGTGATCCGGATCTTCAAAGTGAGTTTAAACCTGATACTGATGAAAAGGCTTCAGACTATTCTGAGACTACTGATGAGTCTGGACCTGAAAACGAAGACAGCGATGGCGGCTGGAAGGAGGGCAGTGCACTGGAGTCAGACTTAAATATGGATGCGGACTGTAATGCGGCAAAAAAATTCTTAAGCTGCACTTTGTGGGGTCAGCAGTTTATCTACAAGCAGTGTCTTCAGAAACAGCTGACATGCCATTCAGGACAAACTCCTTCCAGCTGTTTGGTTGATAACAGCTGCGAGGTAAAGCAAAACGTAGATTCCCAGGTGGTGGCTCCAACAGGTGTGAAACAGTTTATCTGCGAGTTGTGTAGTGAAGTATTTTACCGAAAATCAGAATTTAAGAGGCACAAGAAAATGCACAACGGGGGGAAGGCATTCAGTTGCGACTATTGCGGTAAAGGATTTAACCGAACATCAGATCTCAGGACACACATGAGGGTCCACACAGGTGAGAAACCCTTTAGCTGTAGTAGCTGTGGACAGAGATTCAACCAAAAGATACACCTTAAGACGCACATGAGAATTCACACCGGAGAGAAACCGTTTGTTTGCGAGGAGTGCGGTAAAAGGTTCAGCCAGCAGGGAAATCTGACAACTCACATGCGAGTCCACACCGGAGAGAAACCGCTTGCCTGCGAAGACTGTGGGCAAAGGTTTAACCAGCAGACGCATCTTAAGGCACACATGCGAGTGCACACAGGAGAGAAACCCTTTCAATGTAGTGAATGTGATAAAACGTTTAAACGAAAGACGCACCTTAAGACCCACATGAGAGTCCACACTGGAGAGAAACCTTTCGGTTGCAAGGACTGCGGTAAAAGGTTTTACCGAAACACAGATCTTAAGACTCACTTGAGAGTCCACACGGGAGAGAAACCGTTCGGATGCGACGAGTGCGGCCAGAGGTTCAACCAAAAGACGCATCTTAAGGAGCACATGAGGCTCCACACGGGAGAGAAACCCTTTCACTGCAACAAATGCGGCAAGAGATTTAATCGTAAGACGCATCTTAACTCACACATGAGAGTCCACGCAGAATGAAAACGTCAAGGCTGCTCGGTTTGTTGTAAGAGATTATTTGCCGTGTGGAGGCAAGTCTGCAAGAACCACAGCATTTTTTTTATTGTCCTGTAATGTTTACGTTTTTTAAGCTTTCTTTAGTGCGTAGTTCAGAATATTTTAAACAAAATGATATTTGCTTCATCTGCTGGATGTTTAATGAAATACTAATGCTGAGGCTTCTTTAGTTTCCCCAGCTAACCTCAGGTTTTGTTATTTAAAGAACTCAAGTAGAAAACAACTGTACTGTTACTAAAAACACTTAATTTAAGCCTGCGCTACGTATTAACTCTCTGTTGGGCTCTGTTGTATGTCAGTCCACACCAATACTTGTGCTCGTACAAAGACTTTTTTTATAATGTGTTTTGATGTTTAAGCAGTGAGTCTGAATGAAACTAATCTGAACAGAAAACATCATTTAAAAACTGTTATGGTCGATTATTATGGTAGTCCCTATTAGGGTTGGGCAATTGGAAGAAATATATCGACTAGTTTTACAAGGGCGATTTATTTATTTGTTTGCCCATGAGTAAGTTTGCTAATAATGATGGAGCTAATAGAAGCAGTCAACAGAAAAAAATAATAATAGCGCTGTTTTAACAGCACCCTCTTTCATCTGTGAGCAAATGCCCCCACCTCAGAGTGCGCCCAAGTGCTTGTTGATGGAGCTGTAGAAGCTGTTGATAGCCTAGCATACTCAGCCACTGGACACGTGCATGCTCATGCAAGTTAGTCATGTTTGAGTACTTTGCTCGAACTATACGTCTGCACAAGTGGCACACCACTTTGGTTACATCCTTAGGTTTACCTCTTTCATCTGGTTTTTTAGTACTGTCAGCGTTAACACTCCTTCATCATGACTAACGCGATTAACAATTAACCCATCTGGAGCGCAGACTGAGTCAAAATCCCTGAAATGTCTCTTGTCAACGCATTTCGGCAGTTTGTCCTAATTTTGTTCATTCTGCACTCCAGATGGGTCGAGAGCGTTAAAAAGTTTAATCGTGATGACCGCGTTTAAGCCGTGTTAACGCTGACAGCGTTTTTTTGTTTTGTTTTTTTGGAAATTAGTTCATCCATGTTTGAACTTCTTCTGTGTTGTAAACGTGCATGATTACATAGCCCCGCCCATCAAGACGTCTGCGCATGCACGAATATATGGCCCATTGGCGATTGTTGGACTGACGATTGGAAAATTTTTACATATCGCCCAACCCTAGTTTCTATGTAGCATCACTAAACGAATGTTTTTTTTTTTTCTTTTACTATGTGCTACTGGCAGGGTCACTGAAAAATACTACTTTGTAATATAATATACATTTCAGCCAATCCTGTTTGTAAAATGTATGTACTGTAATGTAAATGACTTTCAGATTCAGCTGCCTGTTGACGAGAACACTACTACATGTACTGCTGTATTTGCATGTTGTCCCTCAAAGTGTTTTATTAAAGGTGTGTTCCTGTAACGCATCAGAATGTTCTCAGACTTACCTTTTTGTTACAGTAACAGGATGTGATTCTTCTTCTTCAGTGTTTTGGTGAGACTGTCCTCAACAAAACAGCTGGGTTGTTTTTGTTTTTTTTTAATTAAAGCTGTCATTAGGACTAGTTAGATCTTAAAGGTAAGTGCAAAATATTGGCAGAACTCAAAAATCCTGTAGCCTAGAGACCGGAGGAGCTTGTTAACATTTTCCAACGCTACCCGGATGTTGTTTTAACAAATTTATAAGCATGTGAGGTCAAGTCATATAACCTTCATTGGATGTAATAATATCAAATATTTGCAAAGCACTTAAAAGTTATAAAACCACACATAAAGATGAATACATGTTCCACATGGGACGGGTGGGCAAAAAGAAGCTTTTGACCTAACTAAAGCTAAAGTTTAGTTAGGTCAAAAATTCCAACTATAAATGTTCGAAAGGAAACAGGCTATTTGTGCCCAGTGAAGGGAATCCAAGGAACAGCTTACATTAATTAAGCTAACCATTAAGAGGAAGGAAAACTATACAACTATACAAATGACTATCAAAAGAAGAGTTAACCTCCTAGGACCTGGCGTCCACATATGAGGTAATCACA